TATATATATATATATATATGGTAACACTTTACTAGAAGCAGTCTACATAAGGGTGACATGTAACGTCAAGAATGACATGACACATGTCATGCACATTAATGACACATTATTGATGTTTATGACTGTTGTCATAAACATCACTGTTGTCATAATGTGTCATTCGGTTTTTGGAACTGAATGACACATTATGACAACAGTCATAAACATCAATAATTTGTCATTAATGTGCATGACATGTGTCATGTCATTCTTATGACGGTTACATGTCACCCTTATGTAGACTGCTTCAAATAAAGTGTTCACATATACATTACATATTATTATTATGTTACTCATATCCTTAGCCCGACATCAACATATCATATGTGTTTACAAAGTGTATTTTAATAAGTTTACATGTGTTTAAAGCATGTAGGAGGTGTATTTTAAGGGTTAAACTATAAATAAATGTTTATTTATATGGTCTTTCTATATCGCAGATTTTCACCTATCGCTGATGGGTCTGGAACATAACTTTCGCGATAGGCGGGGGATCACTGTATAGTAATTGGATGAAATAAAAGACATGTCACTATTCAGTAATGATGATTGCAAATGAGATGTGCAATCGACTTAATTTGTGGTTAATCATTACATATGTAATATGTAATAATATTAATAATAATTCTACATTATTTGTGCCTCCTCAAGTAAAGTGTTACCGAATTATTTTTTTTAATACTCTGTTGTTAGGCTGCTAGGAGAGGTGAAAAATGCATATTACTTTAGATTCCTGTCACAGATGAATTCATGTCCCATTTACCCTGACGAATGTTAGCCCATTGGCAAACAGCCACAGGAAGGCACCAGCATTTCTGTGCATGAAGTTGACAGATACTGCTAAGGATGGTGAGACCAGGGCCCCAACAAATGCTAACCTGCTGGCACATGCCAACAGAAGTATCTAACAAAAACCCCTCTGTGCTTAAAATGCCTTGGGCGTCATACGGACGATTAGGATGAGAAACAAATATTGAGTAGAAGAAATGCAAATGAACATTTGTCTATGCAAATAAACGCAGATGAGTGCTTCATTTACGAAGCACACAAACAGCTTACATAGAACCCAAAGGTCCTAGACGTCAGACACTGATTAATATCTGGCCAATCTATAAAACATTACCAGGAAACAAATGTCCTTCATATATCAGCATCATCCAGCTAGAGGTGCTGTGGGACTTAAGCCTGTCCCAGACAGCACAGGGAATATGGCACTGGACATCCTGAACAAAAGAACAATTTAGAGATGACACATTTCAAACTACAGCCAGAAGAGGAACCCCACGTGAACATGCAAACTCTTCATGCAGAGGGGGCTGGGATTCAAATTCACAACTGTGTAGATGTGAGGTGACACTGAACAAACATTTCTCATTTCAGCAAATTACAGCATAAGTAATATATTCAGGGGTCATAAAAATGATGTGGATGTTTCCAAAACAGCAGAACACAGATAACAGATATAAAAAAGACATCCAATGCCCACATTATCCAAGACACATTTAAAACCCCATGCGCTCAGTGTTTTCCTTTCCCAGTGGTTTCTGGCACATTTAAATATTTCCAGTTACAGCATAATTTCTCATTAGGCTGAAAAATACCTATTCTAGAATTACACTCATTAAGTGCTTCAACTCTTTCAAAATCTAAATAAATTCCTCTATCTTAGCTTAAACAGATTTGAACGCTCATTTCAGACATTAATCATGCCAATGAATTGTAATGAATTTTGTTTATGGTGACGTGACTTTAACAGCACCTACAGTAAGTAAGTTTAGCACATCTTGACTCCGGGGTTCTTTGGCAAATGGTGGTGAGGGGAGTTTGGCAGAGTGTGATAAAGAGCACCGTGAGATCCATGTGCTTGGGTGAATGGTGCCCCCTCCCCTGAGCTCACCCGCCCATTCTGAATCCTTCCAATCAAACCAACAGGTCAGGTCAGGTAGGGGAGCATGCACTGGTACAGCATGTTGCTGCATACTCACAAGATGAAACAACTCAGGATCGTGGTGGGGAAGCCCCAAGGACCGTGAGTATGTGATTGATCTCTTTCGCCACACTACCAGTATTGGAGAATTAAGTCAAATGATGTGGCTAGGGCGCTGGAACCTATGGCCCCTGACCTTTTGTGAAGTCAAGGTACATGGACTTATTTTCAGCATGGTCGCCAGACTCTTGGGGACTGACACAATCCATATAGCCAGCCTTGTCAGTGCCAGTGGTCACCCATGACCAGAGGTAAACAACCAATAGAATTTGCAAATAAAATGTCTCCCTCGTTGAGACATCACACAACACAGAGACAACAGACACCCAGAGAATGCCTTAGCCTGAGCCTCATAATACGCTCATTGAAAGGAGTGACATCGGACATCATCAAGAGGAGCTGATCCTCCACAGCAACAGATACTCATTGAGTATGGCAGCAGTCCAGACATATAATAGGTGTACTCAGCTACAGAGAGAGAAGTCAGGCGACGCTTCAGCACCACACCAGTACCAATTCCCAACAAGCCTGACCACATTGGATCTCCGGGTTATGATAAATTTCGATATTGTGATCATCTTTGAAAATATTGTGATATTTTCAATCATACTGTTTGAAGATCTGACACAACCACTGTTTCAGATGCTTTTCCCAGTAAATAACTTCCACCTCCTTCTCCCAAGTTTGAGATTGCAAAAAAAAAACTGTGCAATTGAGGGTAAATCATACTTGAAGTTATTAATATTGTAATATTTTAGAGGGAAAGAAAGAGGTTTTGTTTAAAAGAAAGTACCGTGAAAGTCTCCACATATTTGGGAGAACATTTCAAACTGGATTTAAGGAAGCACTTCTTTACACAGCGTGTAGTCAGAGTATGGAATAGTCTTCCTGATAACGTAGTGCAAGCTGAATCCTTGGGTTCCTTTAAATCAGAGCTAGATAAGATTTTAACAACTCTGAGCTATTAGTTAAGTTCTCCCCAAGCGAGCTCGATGGGCCGAATGGCCTCCTCTCGTTTGTATAGTTCTTATGTTCTTGTGTTCTTGTTCTTATATTATGCATTAGATTTGTTAACCAAATGCTGAATTCAGAGTAGTGTGTTTACACCTAAAGAAAGTTTTATCTTTTTCAGAAGAGCAGACACCTGCTCAGTGAAGGCCTTGGGTATCAAAAGCAAAGCAAAAGGTGCAGAAATTGGGTACCATGTAGTTACTTTTTTGGGAACAGTGTCTTTGGTTTTATTTTGATAGACATAAGCTACAGAATATGATATTGAAAACCTTGTTTTCTAACCTAAAAGCAAGCTTTTATGTTTTACAGGAGAAGAACACACAACTGCTGACTGTAACCCCAGATCAACCCTAGAAAAGTAATAGAATATTTTCCCCATGTCAGCAGGTAGTAAGTTGGATAAAAGGTGGACAGAAACAAACTATAAATGCTCTCTATATATGTACAATTTTATTTAAAATTTGCTTATTAATGTTTCTCATAATACTTCTCAATTTAGTTTCAAAGAAATAGGTGGGAAGGTCAAGATTGCAGGAGCTAAAATTTCAATAGTAAAAGGTTTGTCTGTTGTACATTTTTAAATTACTATTATTATTAGAAGTATACATTTTTTTTACCTTTTTGTGTGAAACTATAATCTTTTTTTAACTAAAAAAAAATGACCCACCAGTCACTGCCTCAATTCCCAGAAATTATCATACAACCTATGTTGTTTTTCAGTGAATAAAAATGAATGAAAGAAATGTGTCATTTACATTATTTAAGGAGCATTTAAATTTGATATTTTGAGGGTATCTAGTGCTTATCAAGTTGACATAGCACTTTTATTTAATTTTGGAATAACATTTGTTATCAAGGCAATGTTGAAAGATTATGTAGGTTCATCTTTCAAATTCAGCATTCAAAAAAATGCTATGCAACACTACGACACAACGCTGACACAACACAAAATGTCTGCTGGGTAAATGCTGCCTGATTGCCCCAAAACATATATTAATGATAATTAAATAACAAAATATTGAAAAATATTATCACCATTATCCCCCATTCGCCATACTGCTGATCCAACGTAGGGTTCAATCATAGAAAGCAGAGGGCACAAGGCAGGGAAAGACCCTGGAGGGGTTGCCAGTCCACTGGGGGGTGCACACTCACACACATATGGCCAATTAGGGCCTCCAATTTTCCCAACCCCACTGGAAGAGGACAACAATGTAAACCACTGACACTGAGAGCACGGAGTGGGAACCGAACCCCAGGCTATGAAGCCAAGGGACATCCCACTGCAACACCTCCATTAATAAACACTCAAAGTCAATTTGCCCTGTGTTACAGAGCAGACGGAGCAAGTTACACTGGGATGGTAACCAGCAGAAATGTAAATTAAGGAGATGGAATGATTCCTTGGGGAATAAGTCTTAATTCAGTCAGGTTATACATTTCCTATCCATACAGCACATATTAGGCTGGGAAGTAGACAGACAAACTCAGAGAGAGCAATCAATGGCCTGTGAGGACAGCTGAAGGAATTTGAGGTCATGATAGAGAAGGAAGTGACTTCATTAGAAGGGAAAATACTGTGTGATGTTTTATTTATAAATTAACGTCATTCGGTTGCTTTTATCTCACCAAGCATGACACTTTGGATTTATGGAAGCATTAACCCCCCTGGCACCCATCAATGTAATTGCACTCCCCACAAATCTTACACAATAAAGGGCAGTCGATTCAATCATATAAATTTCAGTTGAAATAGTCTGGGCAAAGGACTTGTTTCATCTGTACTTTACATGCATAATGCTGTAAGTCTGACTAATGTTAGCATTTTTCCCTATTACCGTGACAACCGAGAAACATGACGCTGTGCCATCGAGATGGCATCCCAGGAAGTTGGCACTTACTTGTATTGGGGGGAAAAGGAAGTGATGTCACTGTTGTTGATCATCCATTTAAACTCCAGGGGCCAGCTACCCTCAGCCAGACAGGTCAACACCAGGCGGTTCCCCTCCAGGTGGATCTCAGAAAAGCTGGGCTCCGTCTTGAAATACGGGGCCACATCACCTGGGAGACACAAAGAGGGAAACTACAGCTAAGGCCACTGGAGGATAAACACTTCATTACATCAACAGATTGGTCTGTCAGCCCTGCTATCTCAAGTCAGGGCTTGGCTGGGAAAAAAAAAGATGTAGACGTCTGACGGCAGGAATTAACATTAAGAAACAGTTAAGAGTGAGGGTCCCCAACTATTTTTATCCCGGGACAAATTCCATCAGCCACACAAAGCAAAGGTCCACTACATCTAAAAAAAACTGCCAACCAGGACTGGGGGAGCAATCACATAGTCTTGATTCAGTTGTATTTTGCTGAGATTCGGAGTAGAATCTGGCAATTGGTGACCACTGAGTTAGAGTGAAAGATAATTAATCTTCTGCACATTCATCCAATGCTCCAAATCACCGACTGTAATTTCATATTTCAATTTTTCCTGGAGAATCATGTTCCCAAATTTCAACAAAAGAGCCCTACACAAAGGGTTTGGACCTAATCAGAGTTGGAGTGAGCTTACTGAACTTTACAGGGATTGAGCGGAGATGCGAAGCATTGCAATCTAACAGTTCACTTTTCAGCACTGGTATCTGGAGAGACTTCACTGAATTATCACTATGTAATGAGCAGTTCTCCATGAGTAACTTCTTCATGGGCCCCTAATGGACACTGAGCTCCTCTATTCAGTTTCTTCTTTCTACATTCATGAAAGGGTGATGTGTGCAGAGTTAAACGAGCAGGATGACGTCAGCCTTGCTGCATCAAGGGATATCACATTCACAGCTGGTCCTGAACATTATTCAATATCAGCAAAAACAGAAAGGGGACTTCTCACTGATCAACATGACGTGGTGCCTCCATGGTCAATGGACACATTTTGCCTAAATCATGGACATGTGGAGCAGACATGCAGATCCTAGCTGAAGGAGGGGCTGCCCTCCTTCCACAGGCCCTCAGGGTGGTCAAAGACCAGCAAACAGCAGCATACAGGATGAGAACAACTTAGACTGACTAAAACGTGTTAGTGGAATTTCATTTTTAACCACACCTACAAGCCAGAGGGTAGGGACCAGTAATCACCATGAGGTTAACAAATGATCCTTATAATGATTTCTGAACAAGGCAGAACCAGAACACAGATGTTCATTTCCAACAGTCAGTGCAAACCCTGCCATACAGGGCATCATACATATACTCAGATCACAACATTTTCGATTGCTCAGAAAGTGTTTTTTGTTTTTGCATCAAATCTGGTTGAACTTGTGCTGCTAAAGTACACAAAGGGAGCAAGGGGTTAAAAACTTTGAGAGAAATCTCTCAACTCAGTAAATCAAGCCAACCTCCTACAAAAACAAATAAACTCTAACAACAAAAGCATCGTACAGTGATCCACTAGGAATGACCACTGGGAGAATAAGATTTAAAAACACATCACAATTAGAGCAAACAATATCTACTGCTGAGAGCAGCTTGACTGTGAGAAATCTCTAGGTCAGGGGTCACCAACATGGCCCCCAAGGACCACATGAGTCGCCTGCAGATCTGTTCTAAAAATAGCACAACTCACCAGTGAGCAGCGTCTAAAATTTAATTTTATCCTGTTGCTATTCTTCCTAAATCACATTTGCATTTATATAGATTTCAAAATAACAATACCTAAAAAAAAGCATTTAAATCATGTTTATTATACATGAAGTTAAGATAAATTTAGGAGGGTGTTTCAAACTGGTAGCCCTTCGTATGGCTCAGTACCCGTGAAGTAGCTCTCAGTTTCAAAAAGGTTGGTGACCCCTGCTCTAGGTGAATGTAAGAGTAACCTTTGTCTGTGTAGGGGGGACTGTTTTCTCATAAATCTTTTCTGTACTTCTGAGGTCCAGACATTTCCATCCACAGCTGATTCTTTCCTTTACAAACCAGCAACAAGACTAAAAATACTTGGGGTGGGGGTTTATGTTTATCTGGATCTTGTTGACATCAGATGGAGAGAGGGCCAAAATTTATGATTTTGAAATTATTACGTGAATCCATAATCATGCAATGAATGAACCTGTCACTACATCTCTGATGAGTTTCCATTTCAGCTCAGTGAATATAACGGTAATCCCTTCATTTGCTATTGGGGATGAAGCTACATCAGTCACTCAGGTACCAAAACCAGCAAACACAGAATGTGTCTGTCTTGCTCTGGGAGGACATACACAAGTGGACCATATGCACAAAAACTTCTGCTAACAGGCAGTGGGCCACGTATCATTCTTCTGGAAGAGAATGGGGCAAGTTAAGATGCCTGTGCTCAGGGACTTAAACACCCCCCTTAATCCAATGTGCCCCTTAAACTGCAGTGCTCAATGCTCAATCCATGAACAAAAATACCAGTGACATGTAGACTACTGTATATTGCCAAAAGTATTGGGACACCCCTCCAAATCATTGAATCCAGGTGTTCCAATCACTTCCATAGCCACAGGTGTATAAAATCAAGCACCTCGACATGCAGACTGCTTCTACAAACATTTGCGAAAGAATGGGTCGCTCTCAGAAGTTCAGTGAATTCATACGTGGTACTGTAATAAGATGCCACTTGTGCAATAAGTCTATTCATGAAATTTCTTCACTACTAAATATTCCACAGTCAACTATTACTGGTATTTGGAAGCAATTGGGAACAACAGCAACTCAGCCACAAAGTGGTAGGCCACGTAAAATCACAGAGCGGGGACAGCGCATGCTAACTGTCTGCAGAGTCAATAGCTACAGACCTCCAAACTTCATGTGGCCTTTAGATTAGTTCAAGAACAGTGCGTAGAGAACTTCATGGAATGGGTTTCCACGGCCGAGTAGCTGCATCCAAGCCTTATATCACCAAGTGCAGTGCGAAGCGTCAGATGCAGTGGTGTAACGCACACCACCTCTGGACTCTAGAGCAGTGGATATGTGTTCTCTGGAGTGACAAATCACAGTTCTCTGTCTGTGGACTTCTGGGTTTGGCGGTTGCCAGGAGAACAGTACTTGCCTGACTGCATTGTGCCAAGTGTAAAGTTTGGTGGAGGGGGGATTATGGTGTGGGGTTGTTTTTCAGGGGTTGGGCTTGGCTCCTTAGTTCAAGTGAATGGAACTCTTAATGCTGCATCATTCAAAGCTATTTTGGACAATTTCATGCTCCCAACATTGTGGACAAAGCAAGGTCCATAAGGACATTTATGAGCGAGTCTGGTGTGGAAGAACTTGACTGGCCTGCATAGAGCACTGACCTCAACCCAATAGAACACCTTGGGGATAAATTAGAGCGGAGACTGCAAGCCAGGTCTTCTCGTCCAACATCAGTGCCTGACCTCTTCTCCTGGAAGAATGGTCAAAAATTCCCATAAACACACTCTTAAACCTTGTGGACAGCTTTCCCAGAAGAGCTGAAGCTGTTATAGCTGCAAAAGGTGGGCCAATTCCAAATTAAAGCCTATGTATTAAGAATGGGATGTCATTAAAGTTCATGTGTGTATAAAGGAAGGTGTCCCAATACTTCTGGCAATATATTGTATTGCATGCACTGGGCAATCCACCCTTTTCTGGTTGAAAACCATGACCTCAGATTTGAAGGTGCTGATCCTCATCCCTGCCACTTCACATTCAGCCGCAAACCATCCCAGTGCATGCTGTGGGTCACAGCCCAATAAAGGCAACAGGACCACATCATCTACAAAAAGCAAAGACATGTTCCTGGCATTGTGGCACCTCAAGGCTCTGTATTGAAAGTGTGCAGATGACAGCAGATGATGCACACCACTGTCTCCTTAACCTGATACCAGGCATGTGCATAGGTAGGGCTCAACCTGTGCAGAGCACATGCCCTTTTTGTAATTACACTTGGAAGTGCCCTTTTTTTTGGGGAAGTTTTTTTTTTTTTTTTTTTTTTTAAATAAATCAATGCTATTGGTAACCCTTTACGTCTGTTTGTCTTTTTAACAAATATTTAACCAATTAAAGGCATTAAAAAGCGCGTCTCTTAGAACCGCTCAAACTGTCAGTCAAACTTCACAACTCCGCCCCCTGAGCGCCGCGAACTTATGTTTCAGCACATCAGAGATACAGAGTCATAGAGCAGAAGCAGATGAACGTCTTCGTCTTGTAACGGTAAAATATCTTGTTGTTTGAATAAGTGCAACGTTGTCTTTATGAAAGTACTAGTATGTCTAATAAGGTTCGTATAATGCATCACCACACCGGTGTGATGTTGACGTAATGTGATGTCGTCGTTTTCATCATGGACAAACTGCACACATTCGCTGGTCAAAAACCCGCAGTGTAACTGCATTTGAGTTTGACACAAAGCAACCGAGTGATCCTTGTCAGCTAGGTAAAATATATTATAAGAAATTTCTATTTTGATTTTATCTGCTGAATGTGCTGATGCATGTAAATTACATGATGTATTTATTAACATTTCATCATATTATATAGCCTCACACAGCATGGTAGGTTAAAGTTTACGATGCTATTATATTATGCATGTGTTTGCTGGCTAGATTTTTTTAAA